GAAACCAAGGCTCTGGTTCTTCACCATAAACTCATCTTTGAGTTCTTGATGGGTCTGCTCCACACACCTGCGACACGCCGAACGTTCAACACACGACAAAATAGAAACCGCACACGAGACACGCGACAAAATAGAAACCGCGCACGGGACACAAACGACCACGTGACACGCAATTAGCGATAACTCGCTATTGAGTTTTCACACACATTCAACATCAAGACTCATCATTCACACACTATTATAAGCATGAAATATATATTATTTCATGCCCTCATACCATTCCATGCACACACGCATGCACGCACACGGACAACAAGCCGAGTGCAAACCGTAGGGTTGCACCAACAAGCTTATCCTTGGATTGTTGGCCTGAGGATCTCCTCATCACTTTAGAGCCATCCCAGCCAGCTTGCAACACTTCCAATGCTGCTGCTCCACCAGCCTCTTGGTCATCATGTCAGCTGGCTGCCCCCTTGTCTTCATGTAGCGCAACTCAACTTCAGCCGCGGCCACCATGCTCCTCGTCCAATGCCATTTCACCCTCATATGCTTGGTGAAGCCGTGCAGTATAGGGTTCTTAGCAAGTTCAATGGCACCCTGGCTGTCATAATAGAGGGGGGTAGGTCCTTGCTGCTCCTCCCCCAATTCAGCCAACAAACGCTGCTGCCACACAATCTCCCGTACGGCACGAAAGAGTGCCATGTACTCGGACTCCACCGTGCTCAATGCTTGGTCCACTTGCTTCTTGCTCTCCCAAGTAGTTGGGCCTCCACCAACACAGCATATGAAGCCTCCCACACTTGTCATGTCCTTTTCTTCCGATGCATACGAGGCATCGGAGAAGGCTATGAGGAACAAACGCCCGGGTTTAACACCATCCGAATATTGCAGCCCAACGGTTGCTGTTTGGCCAAGATACTTGGCCACCCTCATTCCAACCGCTACCTGCTTCTCATTAGCGCACTGCACAACCCTAGCGAGCTGCCCGGTAGTAATGGCGACGTCCAGTTGGGTGTTGACCACCGCATACATGAGGCTGCCCACCAAGGAGTGAAACTGGTGCCTCTCCTCTCTACCAACACTCTCCTCCTCTGCTCCCTTCACACACTTGAACCCAGAAGAGAATGGAGTAGCCACATGGCCTTCACTCTGCCAAAAGTTGGCAGCCAAGGCCTCCAGGTACTTTCGTTGATGCACTCGCATGTACCGCTTCTCCACATCGCGTTCGATATGAAGCCCGAGGTAGAGGTTGACGTCACCAAGGGCCTTGCACTTGAATTTATCTTGAAGTTTCAGCATCAACTCCTTCACAAGGTCAGAGGAGGGTGAGAAGATGAGGATTTCATCCACATAGACCACCATGAAGCTCCTCTGCTCCCCCTCGCCAAGCATGAACAAGGAGTGATCGGCCGTTGAGGGAGTGAAGCCGATCTCCTTCAATACTTTGCGCAGCTTCAAGTACCATTGCCTAGGGGCATGCTTCAGCCCGTAAAGGGCCCTTTTCAGTTTCAAAACTCTGCCACAACCATCATCAAACCCCTCTGGCTGCGCCATGAAAATCTCTTCTTCGAGAATGATGTTAAGGAACGCGGTTGTCACGTCCATCTGCTTCATCACCCATCCTTTGATGGCAGCCCCCGCGAGTGGGGTTCGCAGCGTCATTGGCTTCACCACAGGTGCAAACAACTCCTTGTAGTCCACCTCCTCCTTCGCAGCAGTAACCTGCCGACCAGACCTATCGTACTCAACGAGTCAACTCGCTACCGATCTCAAGAAGCCCGAAGCAGAGCACATGGCGGAACTCGACCGCGCACTGCACTACCTCGTCAGCACAAGAGCGGAACCATGATGACTAAACTAATCGGCTATGTGGATGCTGATCACGCTGGCGACTACGACAACAGGCGATCGCGCACCGGCTACATCTACCGACTGGAACCTATCGGACCTATTTTGTAGCAGTCGAGCAAGCAGGAAGTGATTGCTCTCTCCTCAGCTGAAGCAGAATACATCGCACTCTGCTCAGCCACCAAGGAAGGACTCTACCTTTGCGAATTGCTGGAAAAAAAACAAATCTGGCCCAGTTACCCAACTTCTCCCTAATCTGCGACAACCAATCGTCAATCCGTATTGCAAACAAAAATGGATTCGCGAACCGAACGAAGCATATCGCCCTGCGATACTTCTTCGTGAAAGACAAGATCGAGAAGGGAAGACTCGAACTGTCCTATTGCCGCACATCCGAGATGGCAGCAGATTACTTGACCAAGAAGCTCGGAAAACAGAAGTTTGAGTACTGCATGCTGCTGACTGGACAAGGATACGTCACAAGCAACGACTCTCCAGAAGCAAAGGGGAGTGTTGGACAACATATAGTTCACGCTTCTGAAGTATCGAGCATTACGCTGTAAGCGAGGCGAACTACAACGAAGCAAACAAGTGAGTCAACCTCGAGAGGTTGACATAAGACAACACGAGAGGTAAAGCCAGGGTCGAAGATCAGCGACCTTCGACTCGCCAAAAGACAGCGCGACAGCAAGGACACACAACTGACTCGCTATTGAGCAGTTGCCCGAGTCGTCGCTGTATCGAACCGCAACAGCAGCAGTTACAATTGCAGTTACAAATAGCAGTTAATTAAACTTTTCATATTCTCTTTGCAATCATATAAATACCTGTATCCCTTTGTTAATCAACTCATCTTGTCCTCACATACCAGCACAAGGTGGTTCAACCAAAGTTCACTAAGAACATTTCCGCTAACTACAACATTCGGAGTCTTAGTCTTTAAACGATCCTAAGGGCTTTTCTCAGCCCAACAGGAACATGTCAGTAGACCTGCATAATGAGATCTCCGAGTGATCCTAGGGGGGTTACAGGCATGTTAGCCTCGGGGGTCTGGGCGCACGGACCCGCATTTGGAACAAGCCCTTTTATTTTAGTGGTCTAGTGACGGGGAATTTGACATGGTATCAGAGCGGTCTTGGTTTCAAATCCTGGTGTATGCACGTGCAGGCCGTTGCTGCTGTGCTGAGTCAGAGACCTGACTATGAGATCCCTGAATGATCCTAAGTGGGTTACAGGCATGTTAACCTGGGGGGGTTTGGTCGCACGGACCCACATTTGGAACAAGCCCATTTATCCAAGTGATTTAGTGATTGGGACTTTGACAGAATAAACACGTATACAGTATGATGTGTGACGCGAAGTAAGGAAATGCTCTATCATTACACTAACACAAACCAACATTATTTCATAAAATATATGATAATAAGGATCTCAATAAGTTTTGTATAGGAGGTGACGAGCTCTTTTAGTGTACCCCCCCGTCCCCATTGGGACTGTCGACGTCGATTCTTGTTGGAAATTTGTCGACAGTTTAGGGAACAACTGGATTGCAACCATGATCGACACTCTAGTCTACGACTGCCACCTTTCTTATTATAAACATGTATGCAACATGTGACAAACATTATGCATGTTGTAGCTTTGTAGGCAACAGTGGGTTTAGCCTTAGAGGGTACAGAACTCTAGGGTTTCATATTTGTACTCTCATTCCTGTTAGTCATTCATCATTCTTGTTCTAAGTTTCACATGGTGTAGAGCAGGTTCCCTCGTGGGAACTGTTCCTAGGGCCCACCGTACCATTTTTTTTTTCCTGCCCGGAGCGCGCTCGGCCCCTGCCCGAGTCGTGCCCCCCCCCCTTTTCCTTCGCTTCTCTTAGCGGCCCCGTCGCGCCGCCCTTTAGGCCCCGACGCCGCCTCTGCTGGCCCCGCGGCCCTACCCTCGCGACCCCGCGGCCCCACCCTCGCGTCGCCCTACGCGGCGTCTTTACAGCCGCCCGCGACCCCGACGGCGCCCGTCGCGACCCCGTCACCCTTCGCGCCGCCCGCGACCTCGTCGCCGCGGCCGCCCGTGACCCTACCGCTGCAGCCGCCCGCGACCCTGGCGTCGCAGCCGCCCGCGACCCTGTCGCCGCAGCCGCCCGTGACTCTGCCGTCGCCGCCGCCCGCGACCCTGCTGTCGCAGCCGCCCGCGACCCTGCCGTCGCCGTCACTCGCGACCCTGCAGTCGCAGCCGCCTGCGACCTCGTCGCCGCGACCGCCTGCCCTCCCGTCGCCGCAGCCGCGAGCGACCCCTGTAGTCGCAGCCGCCCTCGACCCCCCCGTCGCCCCACCCGTGCGACCCCACCGCCGCCATTTGCGGCCCCTCCGCCATACCTTCGCGGCCCCGCCGAGCAGCCGAGCCGCCGAGACGCCGCCGCCGCCGAGCCGCCGAGACGCCGAGCCGCCGAGCCGTCGTTGCCGCCGAATTGCCGAGCCGCCGAGCCGTCACTGCCGCCGTGCTGCCGAGCCGCCGAGACGCCGCTGCCGCCGAGCTGCCGAGCCGCTGAGCCGCCGAGCCGCCGTTCCTGCCATCCCGGCCCTCTTCCTGCCGGCGCCTCGGTCCTTCTCGCCTGCCCGGTAAGAGCAGCGCCTCCACCACTGCTCTGCCCTAGCCTGCTGCTCTCCCTGCTAGTCTACTGCTGTCATGGCTTCCCCCAGTGTCCTCACCTTTGACGCTGAGGGTCGGGCCATTGACTTTGACGTCTGAGTAGATGACCTGCAGCTTTTCCTACTGAGCGACAGAGCAGACGGCCTCTCCCTTTTTGACCTCACCTCTGGTGCCTCTCCTGCCCCTGCTGCTGATGCTGACCCCACTGTTCGCTCCCAGTGGGCCACACGCGATGCTGCTGCCCGCCTTGCTGTGCGCCGCCACTTGCCGACCGCTGAGCGTGCGCACTTTAGCCAGTACAAGAGTGCTAAGACCTTGTACGACGCTGTAGTTGCACGCTACTCTTCCCCTGCCACTGCTGCGCTTAGCCGCCTCATCCTACCGTACCTCTTTCCTGACCTCGCCGCTTTTCCCACTGTCGCTGACCTCATTACGCACCTTCGCACTAGTGACACTCGCTACCGTGCTGCGCTTCCTGCTGAGTTCTGCGCCAAGAACCCCCCCCCATGTACATCACCCTCTACTACATAGTCACCCGGCTCCCTGACACCCTTCGCCCGGTTAGGGACCACTTCCTCTCTGTTTGCCCCACCACCCTCACCGTTGACCTCCTCGAGGAGCGCCTGCTCGCGGCAGAGAAGAGCATAGTCGCAGTAGGTGCCTCTCGTGGTGACCCTCGTACCCCTGTCTTTGAGGGGTGCTCCCCCTCTCCCCTCTTGCCCTCTGTTGCCTCTGCTGCTGCGGCCGACCTCGTTGGTCTTGAGTCGGTCGCTGCGGCGTCTGCCCCTAGTGGGAGACGCCGCCCTGGCAAGGGCAAGGGGGGCAAGGGTGCTGGAGGAGCTGGCGGGGGCGGTGGAGGCGGAGGTGGAGGTGGTGGAGGGGGTGGGGGTGGCGGTGGGGGTGGTGGCGGGGGTGGGGGCGTCGGTGGCGGGACTGGAGGTGGAGGTGGAGGCGGCGGTGGTGGTGGGAGCGGAGGTGGCGGAGGTGGCGGTAGTGGAGGAGGTGTCGGCGGAGGCGGCGGAGCTGGTCGGGGTGGCGCTGCGCAGAGGGGTGGCTCCGGTGGTGGTGCGCGCCAGCAGCAGCAGCGTACCCGTGAGACCCCTTCCCCCCAGCAGCTTCGTGAGTGGTACGTTGCTCGTCAGCGGGGCGGGGGTGCTGGCCCCTGCACCTACGTTCTCCGTACCGGCGACCGGGCGGGTGAGCAGTGTGGGGGCGCGCACCCCACCCAGCGCTGCTTCGGCCGTCTGACAGACGCGTGGCGCCACCAGTTCCCCGACGCTACTGAGATCCCTCGCTGGGGCGAGCTGTCTAGGGCGGGTGTTGCAATCTATGATCTTGATTTTGATGCTATTCTTGCTGCCATGTATGCTGTGACTATTAGTGATGAGGGTGACTGTTACCGGTGTTTCCCGCCTGACCCAAGCATAGAGGCTGCTGCGCTAGGTACTTGTGAGGCTGCTGCTCTAGGTGCCAGTGCGTCTGCTGCCACAGGTGCCGGTGAGTTTGCGCTCTCAGGTGCTGCGTCGTCCCCTGACACCCACACCTTCACCCTTGACTCCGGTGCTTCCCGCTCCTTCTTTCGGGACTGCACCACTCTCACACCGCTCAGTCGGCCTGTTGCGGTCTCCCTGGCGGACCCCTCTGGGGGTCCTGTCCTTGCTCACTACTCCATTGTCCTACCGTGTCCGGCGGTCCCATCTGGCTCCCTGTCGGGTCTCTACCTCCCCTCGTTCTCTACGAACTTGGTGGCGGGTGCTGACCTCCAGGATGCAGGAGTTGACCAGTTCACCCCTGCGCGTCAGCGGGTGACCCACTGCACTTGTGCGGACACGGGCCGACACTTGGCCACGTTTGCTCGTCGGCCAGGGTCGAGCCTGTACACACTGACTACTGAGTCTCCTCCAGTCACTGAATCTGCTCAGGTAGCCGCGTCGGGTCAGGTGTTTGCTGCGGCGTCCAGGTCTGGTCCTGAGTCTGCCCCCTGCTCGTGTCGTCTCCTGTCCCACCGGACTCTCCTCTGGCACCACCGTCTTGGTCACCCCTCCCTGCCTCGCCTTCGAGGCATGGCTTCCCGTCTTCTTGTTTCTGGTCTCCCCCGGTCCCTCCCTCCCCTTCCTCCGAGACCTGCCCCCACCTGCGTTCCCTGCGTCGAGGGGCGGCAGCGCGCTGCTCCTCACTCCTCCGAGTTTCCTCCGACAGAGGCTCCGCTGCAGACGCTTCACATGGACGTGTGGGGCCCAGCCCGCGTCCGTGGGCAGGGTCAGGAGCGCTACTTCCTGCTGGTGGTTGACGACTACTCGCGTTACACCGCAGTCTTCCCCTTGCGCAGCAAGGGTGACGTCACTGAGGTGTTGATCGCCTGGATCCGCGCGGCTCGTCTCCAGCTCCAGGAGAGTTTCGGCTCCGACTTTCCTGTTCGGCGTCTGCACTCCGACCGAGGCGGAGAGTTCTCCTCTGACCTTCTGCGGACCTTCTGTCGTGCACGAGGCATCCGCCAGACCTTCACGCTTCCGGACTCTCCGCAGCAGAATGGGATCGCTGAGCGCCGCATCGGCATGGTCATGGACGTCGCTCGTACGTCCATGATCCATGCGGCTGCTCCCCATTTTCTGTGGCCGTTTGCGGTTCGGTACGCGGCGCATCAGCTCAACCTTCACCCCCGGGTCTCCATGCCGGAGACCTCCCCTGCCTTGCTGTGGACGGGGAAGGTTGGTGATGCGTCGCGTTTCCGGGTCTGGGGATCTAGGGCGTTTGTCCGCGACTTGTTTGCGGACAAGCTGTCCTCTCGTGCTGTTCCCTGCGTCTTCTTTGGCTTTCCCCCTGACGCGCCAGGCTGGCAGTTCTACCACCCCACCTCGCGCCGTGTCTTCGCGTCCCAGGACGTCACCTTTGACGAGTCGGTTCCCTACTACCGTCTCTTCCCCTACCGCACTGCGTCCCTCCCTCCCCCGCCGCTCTTCCTTACACCAGGTCCCCCTCCGGTAGACCCCCTCCCCCCTCAGGGTCCTGCTCCCTCAGGTGTGTCCCAGGTAGATGCAGTTGAGCCAGTCGAGGTAGCTGCTGATTCTGGTGTTGCTCGTGGTGCTGAGCCTGGGGGTGCTGGGTCTGGGGGTGCTGAGCCTGGGGGTGCTGGGCCTGGGGGTGCTGCGACTAGGGGTGCTGAGCCTGGGGGTGCTGGGCCTGGGGGTGCTGAGCCTGGGGGTGCTGCGCCTGGGGGTGCTGAGCCTGGGGGTACTGAGTCTCGGAGTGCGGAGCCTGAGGGTGCTGGACCTGCTCGTCCGGTGTCTGGTGGTGCTGAGCCTGACAGTTCTTCGGGTGCTTCGTCCCGGCGGGAGCTGCCCTCTCCACAGGAGCTGCGTGAGTGGTTCGCCCGGCGCTGGCGACGTGCTACTGGAGCTGGTGGTGCTGCAGGAGCTGGAGGTTCTACTGCTGCTGAGAGTGTTGGTGCCGAGGGTCCCAGAGGTGCTCGTACCGAGTGTACTGGAGCTGCTGGCCCTACGAGTGCTCCTCCTTCTGGAGCTGGTGGTGCTGCTGGTGCTGCTGACGTTGGTGCTGCTGGTGCTCCTGGAGCTGGAGCTGCTGCGTCTTCGGGTGGTCCGGCTGGAGCTGGAGCTACTGGGGGTGTTGGCGCTGGGGGTGCTCCTGGCGCTGGTGCTGCTGAGGGTGCTGGAGTTGGAGCTGCTGGAGCTGAGGGTCCTCCTGGTGCTGGTGCTCCCGCTGGAGGTGCTGGTGCTGTTCCTGCTGGCGCTGGTGGAGCTACGCGGCCGCGGCCGTACTTCGTTCCGCTCCTTCAGCAGGTTCTTGGTCTTCCGTCCTCTCTTGGTCCTGCTCCTGCCTTAGAGTGTCCGCCTCCTGTCCAGTCTGAGTCACAGTTACAGCCACCTTCCCCACTTCCTTCTCCTTCTCCCTACACTGGTCCTACTGGAGGTCTTGCTGTGCGTCGTGAGCCTACGTCTCGCCCTGCGTCGCCTGTCCGTGCTGCTCGCACTAGTGGTCGTGGTTCGCGCCAGCGTCCTCCCCCGTCCCCGGCACGCACCGGATGTCTCTGCGTCCTTCCACTGCTCCGCTGCGTGCCCCTTTGCCTTCTCCTCCAACGTCCTCTCTTCCTGAGCTTCCTGACCCAGAGTCGGACTCCCTTCGTGCTGCGCGTCCTACTGTCACGCGTCTCCTTGCTACTATCGTCACTGACCCTTCCTTTGAGTCTACTGCTGCGTCTGCCCTAGTTGCTGAGCTTGTCGACTTCGCTGCTCGCTGTCGCCTAGACTACGCTACCAGTCTTGTCGCTGAGTCTGGGCCTGTCTGTCCTCCGTTCGTCGGGGGTGAGTGTGCTCTTGGCACGGACGTCCTTGAGGACAGGCAGGAGGAGTTCCAGTGCTTGGCTGCTGCTTCACCTCATCTCTTGTCCATGCTGCTTGCCCCTGAGGCGACCCAGATGCACTTGACATCCCGACTCCGCGCTCTTACGCGGAGGCGATAGAGGGTCCCTACTCCTCTCAGTGGCAGGCAGCCATGGACGCAGAGATGGCTTCCTGGAAGTCCACAGGCACCTACGTTGACGAGGTTCCCCCGCCTGGGGCGAACATCGTCGGTGGCATGTGGATTTTCAGGGTGAAGCGACCGCCGGGTTCTCCGCCTGTCTTCAAGGCGCGTTACGTGGCTCGTGGCTTCAGTCAGCGGCAGGGAGTTGACTACTTTCAGACCTTCTCTCCCACCCCGAAGATGACCACTCTTCGGGTACTGCTGCACATAGCCGCTTACCGAGACTACGAGCTGCACTCTCTTGACTTCATCACTGCTTTCTTGCAGGGCAGCCTGCACGAGGAGATCTGGCTGCGCCGCCCACCTGGCTTCACTGGGACTTTTCCTCCTGGCACCCAGTGGAGCCTCCGGCGGCCAGTCTACGGTCTCCGCCAGGCGCCGTGTGAGTGGCACGACACACTGAGGACGACAGTTGCGGCTCTTGGGTTTGCACCTTCTACTGCCGACCCGTCACTGTTTCTGCGCACCAACACTTCTTTGCCGCCGTTCTACATCCTCGTGTACGTCGACGACTTGGTCTTTGCTACAGCTGACACTGCTGGACTTGCCTACGTGAAGTCCGAGCTGCAGAAGAGACACACGTGCACAGACCTGGGTGAACTGCGCAGCTACCTTGGCTTGCAGATCACCCGGGACAGAGCACAGCGCACCATTACCCTGACTCAGTCACACATGGTGCAGCAGGTCCTTCAACGCTTCGGCTTCACGTACTCCTCGCCTCAGGCCACTCCTCTGCCTACACGCCACTCGCTCTCAGCTCTGCCTTCGGATGAGTCCGTAGAGTCGAGTGGCCCGTACGCAGAGCTTGTCGGCTGCCTCATGTACCTGATGACCTGCACTCGACCTGACCTTGCATACCCTCTTAGCATTCTTGCACGCTATGTTGCTCCTGGGAGACACAGACCAGAGCACATGGCTGCAGCGAAGAGGGTGTTGCGCTACTTGTGCAGTACGTCGGGCATGGGGCTTGTGCTTGGAGGGCAGAGTCCAGTGGTCCTCACTGGTCACGCAGACGCTTCTTGGGCAGACGACCAGGCTACGCAGCGGTCGTCATAGGGTTACACCTTCAGCCTTGGTTCTGGCTCAGTTTCGTGGCGGTCTACCCGCTCGTCTTCTGTTCTCGGCTCGAGCTGTGAGGCTGAGATCTACGCAGGGGCCATGGCTGCACAGGAGCTACGCTGGCTCACCTACCTGCTGACTGACCTGGGAGAGCCGCCTCGTTCTCCTCCAGTGCTGTACGTAGACAACAAGGCCATGCTGGCCTTGTGTCGGGAGCACAGACTGGAGCACAGAACGAAGCACATCGCTCTCCGCTACTTCCTTGCTCGTGAGCTGCAGCAGCGTGGTCAGCTGCGCCTTGCTTACGTGGCCTCTGAGGCCAACACTGCTGATATCTTCACCAAGGCACTCGCGCCTTGTGATCATCAGCGCTTCTGTACTCTGTTAGGTCTTGTGCCTACCTTGCCTCACTTGCTCACTTCTTGACCTTTCTTGTACTGTTACATATATATATGCCTGCTCGTGCTTGTTTAGTGTTATATATATGTCATCTTGCATGTGAACTGGCCTTGTGGCCTTTAACTTGTGCTCAGACTGTGTGGTGACGTTGTGATCCACCCTGAGCTTGCCTTGCCTTGCTTTGCTTGACTGGTCTTGTGACCTCTTGTGCTCCCCCACTTTTCCTATGGGGGTGTGTCAAACATTATGCATGTTGTAGCTTTGTAGGCTACAGTGGGTTTAGCCTTAGAGGGTACAGAACTCTAGGGTTTCATATTTGTACTCTCAATCCTGTTAGTCATTCATCATTCTTGTTCTAAGTTTCACAATATGCAGTTAGATATATGGACGAACAAGAGCAAAGAGTGGGGGTGATAGAGGAGGATTATTGTATGATGGAACGGGATGGCACCCGAAAATGCGAAAGCACAATCCTACTAAAATTGTCTAACACCCTATATAGCTTCTACACCAGCATATCTACCAGGTAGCACACATCCGCCCATGGAGCGTCCCACTGTAACATACTGCTCAATATCCTCCCGCTCCACCCAAACAACGTCTGTGCCTCTCATAATTGGCTTTCTCTGTAAAAGCATTACGCACACCCGGGCTCACTCCAAGCCACCCCAATAGCCCTAAGTGATTGGAGCAAACACGTCAAAAATCTCTTTCTTGTTTCCCCCCCCCCCCCCCCCCCCTCTCCCCCCCCCCCCCCCCCCCCCCCCCCCCCCCCCCCCCCCCCCCCCCCCCCCCCCCCCCCCCCCCCCCCCCCCCCTTTTTTTTCAATACCACCTGCAGCTCTACGTTGGCCATTGCTTAAGCCCTACCCAAAGCTCCCTCCCAGGCAACCGAATGTTTTTTGTGACGAGGGTAGTGAACTGCACTTTCCTATCCTGCTGCAAGGGGGATTTGTAATCCGTTGCCTTCCACCTTTATCCCTCCTTAGTGAAAAAACCCACATTTTGACCAATTTGCCCGTACTGTTGCGCAGGCAGAGAGATGGGGTCAACATTGCTGACCTCAAGCGCATGCGCCTCCCCCTCCTTCGATCTCCAAACCACCATGTCCACTTCTTCCCAAGAAGCAATGTATCGTTCCCCACAGTCACAACCCCACCCGCCCTTTAGCTATCCTATCCACCACGAACTTAACCTTAATCGCGTCATGGACTCGTAAAGGTGCGTACTGATGCTTGCAGCGGAGGATATGATGGGTATCAGATTGATCAGCAAAATCAACATTAGAATTAGACTTGCCAGCAACCATCAACTACTGGATGGGGACACACTTACAATTCTGATCAATTACACTCATCTTTCAGTTCTTACCATGTAGCACAAACATGACAGTTTGGCTGCTGCAATGTCTAAAACCCGCGGGCCAAGAAGTTCAACCTTAGGAAGGTTGGTTGGGGCGAGCAACGCAATTGGCCAAGATTTTGGGTTTCAAGGCCAAACTCAACCAAAGTAAGGAAGGTTGAACCAATCTAGGCCTTCTTGGCCCTGCGGTTTTATGGATGAAGCAAATGAGCATTTTGATGTGGGTATTTCCAATGTAAGCTAAGGTTGTAGCAGGTGGAGGAGCAGCTGGAGGAGGAGGAGGAGCAGGAGGAGCACGAGAAGCGGCAGTGGTAGCGGCAGGAGCATGTGCAGCAAGAACAACAACACGAGTAGTAGCAGCACTAGGAGCAACAATAGCTACAGCATCAGAAGACCGGGAGAAGCCGCAGCCATCGCAGCAGCAACAGAACGAGCAGGAGCAGGAAGAGCGACAGGAGAAGCAGCAGGAGCGGCCGTAGGAGTGGAAGCAGCACGAGCATCAGCAACAGCAGTAGCAACGGTTGCAGAAGCATCTAGAGAAGCAGCAACAGCACCACCAATATAGGGTGGGGGCAAAGTTGGGAGTGGCGGTGGTGGTGGTTGAAAGGGAAGCAACATCAGCTGCGATCGAGGAAGTTGGTAAGGTAGTGGGAGAGATAAGAAAGTTTAGGGGAGATTGTTAGAGAAGGAAATTATTGAAAAAGGCATACATGAAAGGAATAGAAGGATGGAAGAAAAAGAGTTGGTGTGGAATAAGTGGTGGAAGGGACCAACCACCATTGGTCTGTTGGAAGGACCAACCACATCCATAGAGTGTGGGACAAATTACCCCACGTGTTTGTAGATTGGGCTCCACCACAATTTGGTAGATTGGCAACCCCATTAGAAGTGTATACCCCCAACGTGGTACATTCCCAACTCAATAGCACACCACACTTGGTGTGCAGCCAAAATATTAGCATACTAAAATGTGTATCATTATAATACAACCCCTTAGCATGCTATCAGTAGGAGAGGACAACCATTGAATCAAGGAACACCAGAGGGACGATGAGGGGTGATTCCAAAGAGGCAGAGGAGAGCAAAGTGCGCGGCGCGGGGAAGCTCCTTGATGAAGATATCAAAAAAATTTGCATCGGCCACAATCTTGCGGACGGCCAAATGACCCTGCAGAACAAGCTCGTTTATGAAGAAGTACCAAAGCTCAATGTGCTAGGGCTGGGTGTGGAAGATTGGGTCCTTGGCGAGGTGATTCTGTTAGCGTTTTTGCACCAGAGCATAGGGCAGTGCTGAAGAGAGCCAAGCTCAATCAGAAGGTAGCACAGCCAGCGAGACTCTTGGGTGGCCATGGTGCCAACGTGGAGCTCAGCCTCGCAGGAAGGCAGGGTAATGGAAGACGAACGCGTGGAGCGCTAACTGATAAGGCCATTGCCCAGCTTGAAGCTGTAACCTTGAGAGGAGTGGCGGTTAGGTTGTGAGTCTGCCAAGGAAGAGTCATTGAAGTCGGTAAGGAGGGGTGGAAGAGGAACTACCAAGGGTTTCTTTGTACTATCAGATGCAGTGCTGAACCCTCTTAGTTCCCTTCCAGTGCTCGTTGGTGTGGCGAGTGGTGCTAGCAAAGTCAGTAATCATGCTGTTGGGGTAGGTGCATATCATGGCGTACATCAGCAACCCAACAAGCAACATAGATGTGAGAGGGGGAGGAGGTGTGGGAGGGCGGGGCGAGCTGATGGCCAAACGGAAGAGGTGTAGCCACCGTGTTGGCCGAAGCCATATTAAATCTCTTCAAGACCTGGTAAATGTAGAAGGACTGGGAGAGGGTGATGGAGCGAGCATTTTGGTCACGCATAATGACCATCCTCAAGTAGTGCTTGGGGTCGCTAAGGTCCTTGCACTTGAGATGCTCCTGTGGCGGCCGCTCATCTGTGCCATGTCAGCTGCATCGTTTCACAAGAAGGATTAGGTCGTATCCCATGCTATTGTCAATCTGTGTTGGTGTCAACTAGAAATGCTGGAGGAAGATTCATCCTGGTGTCATCTAAACCGACCAATGAAATTGTGGGAAGTGGCCCAATGTGCCCAAAATTGACACCAGGCTGGAGCCGCGTGTGGACGCGACTCCACCTCGTGTCAAGCCCATTTGTCGTCTGACACCAACCGCAGATTGACACTAGCCTGTAATACGGCCTTATAGTATGAACAAACACCAGCATGAAGAAGCGACAAGAAGAGGAACTGATAAACAAGCGGGTGTCAGAGTGAGAAACAGTGAAACCATGAGAATGCAGGGTGGCTACCAGCTTGGCATGCCACTCCTTTGGCGCCTGCTTCAAACCATATACCAGGTGACGCACTTGCCAAACTGTGTCGGCAGGAAAAGCAGCATGAAAGCCAGGAGGCTGCTTCAGGAAGATGCGCTCATGCAGCTTGGCTTGTAGGAAGGCGTCGATGACGTCCATGGAGCAAAGATCAAGAACGTTGCGAAGGGTGGGAAGGTTGGCAGTGGGAGAGAATGTGTCATAGTAATCCACGATCGTGATATTTGTAAAGCCCCTGACGCAGTACCGGGCAGTCCCATTTGGGTTCCTCACAGGTCAGCACATCCCGGTGTTCTCCAAGAACTTGGTTTGTGTCAGTTGTCTTCAAGACCTTCGTGTCACCACCACAAGAGAGTTTGGCATGCAAATGAATCATTGAAGGATCCTTTGAGAATGCGCTAAAGTGACTCCCAATAGTGTTCTGCATGCACCTCAGCTGAAATCACGTTTGAGAATTCTCAAAAAGTGATTTCGACAAAGTGACTCGCGAATGTATCTGGACACTACTACAAGGGCACCCCTTGCCACGTTCCACCAAAAGCCAGTGTCGGCCTGTTCTCGTTGTGCATAGAGTTCCCCAAGCTTTTGGAGTGGGGTCAGGCAGCTGCATCGTGCTCGTGTCGGCCACTTACCCACCCATCGCTTCTGTCGTCCTTCACACGCCTCCGTCATATGGTTCAACACAGTCTCGTCTCATATCTCTCAGTGTCAATCGCCCCGCTCCCTCCCTCGTCTGCGCCGCCGTGCACTCTCTCCATCGAGGGCGGGTAGCGCGCCGCCTCTCACTCCTCTTTTCTCCATACAACTACTCCCCTTCAGACATTGCACATGGACGTTTGGGGCCCAGGCCCTAGTCCTTGGTCGTTGTCAGAAGTGCTAATTCTGGTCGTTGTGGATGACTAATCCCGCTACACCATAGTGTTTGCCTTGTAGCAGAAGTCCGATGTGCCTGACGGTCTCATGGCATGGCTAGTACCTGTCTGCGGTCAGCACAACCGTCAAGTGCTCTGTCTGCACTCTAACTGTGGGTGCGAGTTCGCCTCCGTTCGCTTCAGCAGTTCCTCTCAAATTGAGCGCATCACCCAGAACTTCATGCTACTTAACTTGCCACAATAGATTGAGGTCGCTGACCGATGCAATGGCTTGGTCATGGAGTTTGCTCACACCTCCATTTGCCACGCCAGTGCACCCCATTTTCTATAACCTTTTGTAGTCCACTACACCACGTACCAGCTTAACCTGTAGCCCCGTGTCTCACGTCCGCAGGTTATGCCGACCCGCCTCTTGACTAGGTCCCCTAGTGTGGTGGCTGAGTTTTGCATCTAGGGTTGCGTTGCTCACATCCTTG